ATAACATTTCCTTGGTTCTGTTGACTTTTGCATTGATAACTTTGGTAAATATTCTGTTTTGAGTGTTCCATTGCTATAATATTTGGCAGTTCCATACTCATTGTACTATTGACTAGCTTCTCTATTTTCTAATAGGTGTTTCCTTTATATGTATACGTCCAAGCAGAATCTGAAGTATTGGCCTTATTGGGTAGAATGCCTTTTGCTGTCGGTTATTACATTACTTTGTTCATTTATACTTTCAGGGCAAACAAAAACGAAATAATCGCAAAGCAAAAGACAAAGGTAGGGATGATAAACCTGACATTGTTCTGCAAGGCAAAACTGAGCCAGATACTCCTAGTGGTGAAAGGAGTTCCGAAATAGTGCAAAAAGGTGATGCACTAGAAGATGTTTCTGATGCATCTGATTCAGTCGATTGTGTTCCAGAAGTACTTCCCCCTGATTCAGAGGAGAGAGATGCGAGTCCTATTAATTGGGATAATGATACTGCCGAAATGCATCCTCCTGCAGAAGCCAGAAGCGGTGTGGTTGATGGGCTTTCCGGTGTTCAAAATGGCATAGCTGGGAGAATTCCATCTGTTGTGGATGATAGTTCATCCACATGCTCAACTGACTCAGTCCCTTATTTGGCAATGAATGTTCCTTATAAAGGAAATCCTCTAGACCGAAAACACAAAAAATTATCAAACAGGTAAACAATTTGTTTCCCTAGTAATTAGTATAGTATTTCTGTGAATTGGTTACGGTAAATGTAAATGACTTCTTCCTTTAACATCTAGAGTGAGGAACCATCGAGGCACGGCTTTTGACTCGGATTTGGCTAATGAAACACCTAGTCAATCATTTGAATCCGGGTCAGTTTCAGGGCAGCAAACTGATCCACCTGGAGCAATAAGTGGATCTGTGTCTCAAACTGTTCAATCCTTCCAGGATAGGGTAAGCTTGCCCAAGCGCCATGTGAGAAAGGTGGTTTTCTTGCTTCATAAATATGATATTTTGTTGGAGAATGTGTTTAGGAAAGATTAGCTGCATGCATGAATATTCTATAACTCCTCACCACTTCCCTTCCTGCCCTCTCATCTAGTTGAGTCATATAGATTGATGAGATACTGCATTGTTGACTATAGGAGGAAGTAATAGTTTCACCACAGAGAAATCTTAGTGCCAAAGATGTGGCTCGTGCAGAAGCATCTACAGAGAAGACAGCTGGTGTAATATCCTCTCCCAGGAGCTCTTCCAAAAGTATTCCATGTACTGCTCTGCCAAAATCAGAGACACGGATAAATGCGGCCTGCAACCAAGTCATGGTTAAGAAACCATCTCCAGACAGCACAAAAGATGCTGGTAGATCACTGAGATTGGAAACTATAGCCGCAAATGCTGCCCCAATGAAACCTGGTGCTCAGAAAGTTGTGACTCTAAAACTAGCTGATAAGCCTTCTGGACTGCAACTACCTGCCACAAGTGAAAAGCCTTCTGGACAGCAAGTGCCTGCCACAAGTGATAAGCCTTCTGGACAGCAAGTGCCTGCCACAACTGATAAGCCTTCTATGCAGCAAGTGCTGGTCAATAATGAAAAGCTTTCAAAACCAAAAATGCCTGTTGTGTCAAGACCCTTGAGTGCTCCTCTAACTCCTGGACCAAGACCAACTGTTTCCATGGCTCCCTTGGTCCAGACAACCACACTTTTAGCACGCTCCAGTAGTGCTGCTGGTCGATTGGGCCCTGACCATTCATTTGAAACTCAGACTTATGTCCAGCAGTCATATCGAAATGCAATGATGGGTAACCCTGTCATAGGAAGTTCGCCAGCTTATAAACAACATCATGCACCAACTTCAGTGGTAAATCCTTCGTATTCTTACTCACAGGCTCCAGCACTTGTATCTTCACCACTCTTTCCACCACAAAGCCCTGATAGGATGGAACCAAATCCAGTGACAACAAGTTCTCCATTTGTAGTGGTAAATCGTGAAATGATACAAAACGGGTCCACGTGGATGGAGTCCTCTCAAAGGGATAACAGCAGGAACATACCTGATAATCACTCTGTGCTCAATGAAATGAAAAGTTCTGTTGTATGCACGCCTGTACTGAGCAGATTCCAGGATCACAATCAATCTGAGTCTCTTGCCCTCACATCTGGCCGTCAAAGTCATGGTGCATTTGCAGATGAATTTCCCCACCTGGATATCATCAATGAGTTGCTAGATGATGAGCAGGGGTATGGGATTTTCTCTGGAGAAAATCTGGGATATCAAAGTTTCAGCAATGGGCCTCACCATTTAAACCAGCAGTTTTGTTTCCAAAGTGAGATGGGCATGTCAAGTGTCCTGGGCCCCTCTACGAGCTCGTGTAGGTTCGAGCGGAGTCGAAGTTCTCATGACGATGAGTTTCTACATGGTTATGGTGCTTCCGGGAGCCATTTGGATACTCTTGGGAATATGATTCCCCAGTCTAGTCCACAACCTTATGTAAATGGGCAGATTGATGGTTTGATTCCTAATCAATGGCAAATGGCTGGTTCTGATCTGCCCTTGAATGTTAGGAATATAGATAGTGATGGCTATCCACATTACATCCCGGAGTATTCAAATCTGTCACATGGCATCAATGGCTATACAGCATTCCAGCCATCTAATAGACGTTGAAGCCTATTTATGATGGAGCTCAAACGGGAACACGAGTTTACAGTCCATGGTGACGATCATGTCGAGGAAGCCTTGGGTGGTTTAGATTATTAAAGAGGTTTGTAACCTTTTTGGTAAGAGATCATTTGTAAAAAGTGATTCTGCTTTTCTTTGTTTTATACTTAGTTTTCTAACAGATGTGGCTTTGCTGTTCCCCCGGTTTGGAGGTTTCAAGTTTAATACATTGGCATTATTTTCTGGTATCTCATCTAAGCTTTTGTTGGCTGGCGGTTTAGGGCATTTTCCGGGAAATGAACTTCATGCCAGAGCTATAGTCTTATAATCTCTGGCTGTCTGGCATATTGTATGGTATGTCATAACTATCAAGGTGTTTCTTGATGTCATATCTAATTGGCATTTGGTTTTTATTCTATATTGTACGGTTGGTTAACCTCGCACACCCAGATTTGGGGTATGTGTGCTGCTATTTATTTTACGTGGTACAGTTAAATGACAATCTTGTGTGACCAGGAAAGCCAGGCAGTGCGGGATTTTGATGTATAGAGGCTGTTTCCCTTCTTTGTGCTAAGTTGTGTACAAAATGGTTGTTCGGTACTATGTATTGGGCAACATTGGATGGGGACACTGGACACTGTAAGAATCGTTTTGGGTGGAATTTATATGAAATTAGAACCCAAGGAAAATTCAGACGTACGTCCAATTCTTATTCAAACGTAATATAAACACGAATCAGAAAAATTACGAAGAACGAGCGAACGACAATTTAACCACATGTACGTTATGTAACTTATCTTGATTCAAAAGTTGTATACCTTGAAAAATAACTGAATTACGTGCGTGAAATTTCTTCCTTTTTCCTATTTGGCTGTCTTCTTCAGCTTATGTCTGATCGTGTGTATAATTATCAATCTCTCAAATATTTATTTATATATTTCTTGTCCCATATCCTAGTTCAATTCAAATTTGTTTATTATTAAATTTAAAAGGATGTTTTATGTCAACCAAATAAACAGTTAGTGTCTTGGTGGAATTAGGATATAATAATTAATAGTAAAACTCTAGTTTTCTCATCTAACTAAAAAATGAAATGATTCATTTAAATGTGATATTACACAAATTAAAATTTTCTTTCAAGCCCTATGTACATTATAACGCAAGCTTCGATTTAAGCCCAATATTGATATATAAATTTTCACATTTTCAATATACAACAGCGTGCTTAAGAACATCTCCAATGGTACCCCAATTTGGTGTAACACTATTCATTTACACCAAATATGGAGTTTTTCATTTAATCTCATTTTGCCCTTGTTCACACTTTATAGAAATTTTTTCTTTCATTTATGTCATTATTTAATATTTTAGTATTATTAAATTCTAATTGATTCATAATTATTTTTAGATGATGGTTATTTTTGTTTTAACATTTATTTTTAAATTATAATCAATCAGTAAGTAATAATTATTTAATATGTTTAGTGTTTTTTTTCAATTTATTAATTAATACAACATCTTAGTTCATAAATATAATTTTTAATTTAACGATTTATGTAATAATATAATTTGAAAAATTAAATTTGATATCAAAAATAAAATTTGGTGTAAAAGTGTAAAACCATTTCCAATAGTTCACACCAATCGTCTTAAAGTCCCATGTAAGGTTTTCTTTTTCTCCAAGGAAACGGTCAAAACATGGATGTTTAGAATCTCATTGTTAAGGTAGTAAGAAAACTGGAGTCCACGTCCGTCCGTTTACTGCAGTTTAACTTTGACTTGGATGAATTTGGCAGACATAAATATTCAAAAATTCAAACTTCAAAAGGGTGAAGCACAAGCAACNTTCGAGGAGGGAAAAGGAAACCTAGAAGGAAAAAAAAAAGAGGATTCTACGTTCTAGGAACAATCTTCAAAAGTTTTCAGTAATTCCTATGAACAAATAGGTGTAGAGACTTAATGGAAGTTATTCTAATAAATGGAGTGGATTGCTTTGATAGAGGCTGTAATAGATTCTCGCATTGTGATTCGAGGTCAATTCAAATCTTTTACGTATCCTCTTAAAATTCCGTTAAAAAAAAATCTCCGTTGTATAATCAAACACGTATCCATAAAGTCATGATTAAGATGTCAAAGGATATAAAAACATTGGACACATCTTCAAAACCAATATCCTCAATCAAATTGTCTTACTATATATCAATTAATTTAGTCAATACATATCCAAGATTTTTAATTGGAAAAGGTCAAAACCTTTTAACTAATAGAATAATGAGAAAATTCTCATGACCCTCCAGTATAAATACCCAATTCCCCTACATAAAACTCCACATTGTTGTTTAGAAATCTAATATGCTGTACAAAATGAGACATCTCAATTGTATCGTGTTAGTAGTAGTATTAGTCATTCTTTTATGTGTCCAACCTGGTAAAAGTAGTCGACTATTGAATGATCAAGAGACGAGATTAAAGAAAAGAGGCCTTTTTCTGCATGCACTTCAGAAGGGTCCTGTCCCTCCTTCTGGACCATCAGGTTGCACCAACATCCCCGGAAGTGGTGGCCCCGGTTGTCCAATCAAGGAAATGCACTTTGCTGGTGGTGGTGCGCGGCCTAGAGCTGCCGCGTATTCGCAACCCATGGATTTATTTGGTGTGACTTCTCATCAGAAATGAAGTTCACTTCGCACGGATCTTGAATAATATCTATTTGTTATACTCAGATGACATGTTCGATATATTGTAATGCACGTAAAGGTGCGTGTAAAGTTTGATTCGATTTTTAGTATCCTTATTCATTTAGTTGTTTTATTTATTCACTTAATTTGTAATATTCTACATCTCGGAAAGAATTTCAAGTTTTTGGATCCGTTCTCGATATTCTTCAAAATGAGCAAGTTCGTCGATCATGTACTCGTTTTTGTTTTGCTTATCAAGAAGAAATTCACGTAACAATAGTTGTTAGTTGTCTTGTCCAATTATCATCGTATCAACGTATACCTAGATGCTTTTCACACAATATCAAAAAGTTAGGTTTGAGAATTTTTTTTCCTTTTATTTTATATATCTTTTTTTAGTTGGTCCATTGGTTCATGCAAAATTCTGCTCCAACTTGTGGAATTTCTTTTTGGGAAATTTCTGGCTGGTTGCTTGCACTCACAGCTTTGAAGTTTGAACTTTATAGTGTATTTGTAACTTATAAGCAGACGTGCAAGGGATTCTCAAGAAAATGATTAATCAACATTAATGAAAACTAGTGCTCGGAGCAATAATATAAAAAGTCGACATCATGTGTTAAAAAACTAAAGGCAAAACTAGAAAAAGCATAATTACTCTTTAAAAAGTAATCTCTAACGATAAAGTGGTGTGTGGAGATTGTGGCACAATGGTGATCATCCCTTTTGCTGATTGGATTATTATTTGTTGGGTTGGTTTTGTTGACCTTAATTGGACTGTTTGGGCCGGATGCTTTGATTGCTTGTGACTGCTGCCCTATTTGTATTAAAAGCATGTTTTTAAGTGGAATGTGTTTTTCTTATTGGATTTGGACAGCCCTCATGTCGCCAAGTGTCGTCCTAATAGCCGTTGGATGGTGACCTTCGAGTGGCTTCTATAATCTGTTCATTTGCCTAGGGTTTGAGTGATTAATCATTCATTCTCTTTCTGCTCGACTTTGTGATTTTACATTTCTTCTCTCTTTCACTTAAAAATACAGATAGTCGTTTTGATCTGCTTATATCAACAGTATATAGATCTTGAGTGGTTTATATGTGCGTTGAGAGTTGTGTTTTTGAGTGAATGTTTGTATAAATCGAAAGGCTTGTGTTGATGTAATCTTGAGTGATTTTTTGAGTACTTTGAAAGTGTATTCTGGACAGTTCATTGATTCCAATTCATTGTGATTTCTTCTGGTGGCGGAAGCTCAAAAGGGAATTATGAACTCTGCTTCTGAACCTCTTGCTTTAGGGCGAAAATCATTGTATTTTTGTTCGCTTTCTTTCAGTTTTTTGCTTTACTGCTTTCGAATTTGTTGTTTAGAAGTGTCTAATATTTTGAACCTTGTCCTAACAGTGGTATCAGAGCATTAGACGGTGGTTCTTGGCTCCGATCTGTGTAGATCTGAAAGTTTGATACTTGATTCAATTGTTTATTTTATTTCTTGAAACCCTATTTAAGGGATCTGGTGAGTTTGTTCTTGTTTTACGGTTTAAAGTACAAATTTGTTGCTTATACTTGAAAGCCCCTTGCAAACGTATTTAAGCCCCCGTTTGGTACCCCTTTTTTTCTCATTCTCATTATTTTTCTCTTTCTTCATTTCAACCACACATTCTATCAATAAAATAATATTACACATAAACCTAAAAATTNCACGTTCTAGCAATAAAATAATATTACACATAAACCTAAAAATTTTCCTTACTTTTTAACCACACATTCTTCCATCAATCACTATTCAAAAACACATTTTTCTACTAAAATGGGTGTCAAACACCCCCTAAATCTTTAGATCTGAAACTTTTCTTGGCAATACCTTTGTCCAAAAACCCCAAAACTTGTCTGGAATCTGAGGGTTGCCTTTGGTTTTTGAGTCAAAGATCTAGATGTTAATCCCACGTGTTCTTTATGACTCTATATTGCATACTGTGAAAATTTGTACATGTCTTTGTAAAAATATAACGTTTCTATGACTGTATTGCTTGGAATAAACCTTTGTGAAATACTGAACAATTGTCTATACAACTTCACATACTCTATATTTTTTTCAGATTTGTCTCTTGTGTGTCGATAACTGAATTAATACAAGTTGTATATTCTTCTAAAGTGTCTGTGTGATTTGCATACATTGATTCTTCATTCAAATCTTTGATCATGACTTCTTCAAAATTTGAATTTGAAGTTTTTAATGGTAAAAGAGACTTTAGTCTTTAGTGCCAGAAAATGAAAGCACTTTTACTTCAACAAAAATGTGCAAAAACCATTGATGAGTTATGTCCAACTGATCTTGAATCTGATAAAGTGACTGAATAAGATGAAACTGCATGAAACTCTATTTTTCTATATTTGTCTAACAATGTACTTAGAGAAATTGGTGAAACAAAGATTGCTGCTGAATTTTGGAAAAAATTAGAAACAACTTATTTGAATAAGACCATTCCAAATAAGGTGTATCTTCTGAAACAATCTTTTGGTTTTAAATTGGACTCATCTCTTAATCTTGAGGCTAATATTGATATATTCAACAAATTATCCCGTGACCTAACCAACTGTGATGAGAAACTCTCAAAGGATCAACTGGCTATGGTTTTATTAAATTCAATTGGTATGATAAATCTGAACATCAACGTTACAGTGGTATCAAAGAGTTCATACGGTGGTTCTTGGCTTCGATTTGTGCAGATCTTAAAGTTTGACTCCTGATTCAGTTTATTTTCTATTTCCTAAAACCTTAATAAACAGTTTTTTGGTTTTAAACTGAACCCATCTCTTGAACTTGAAACTAACATTGATAGATTCAACAGATTATCTCGTGACCTAGCCAACTGTGATGAGAAACTCTCAAGTAGACAGCTAGTTGTGGCTTTATTAAATTCAATTGGTGATAAATATAAAAATGTGAAATATGCTATTGAATATTGTATGGAAACTCTAACTACTGATGTGATAATTAATTTCTTAAGAAATAAGGAGTTTAGAGTTTAAATCTGAAAGGAAAGAATCTGTTGGTGGAATGAATTTGATGGTTAAGTTAAGTTTAATCTTAAGAATGGTAATTTCAATAAGAAATTATGACACAAGAAGAAGGGGAATCTGAAAGATAAAATGAAAATAAAAGGTGAAAAATGTTTTTACTGTCAAGTAGAAGGTCATTTTATCAAAGATTACACTAAAAGATTTAGTGATAACAAAATTAAGTCTAAAATTGATGGTGATGTAGTTTTTAGCCTGAAACAATGAAGTAAAGGCTGATGAAGTTTATGTTGTTGTAAATTATCAACCTAGTCAAGAATGGATTCTTGACTCATAATGCACCTTCCATATGTGTCCTAAAAGAGAATGGTTCACTGATTTTGGAAATGTAAATGGTGGTCAAATTTTAACCGGTAATCATATGACATGCCAAGTTAAGGGAATATGAACCATTGCTTTAAGAGTAAAGGAAAATTATCAACTAGTCTTAGAAAAGACTAGGTATGTTCCTGAATTTCAAAGGAATCTGATCCTTAGGTGTATTAAATGACTTAAACAATGACATTATGATTAATAAGGGATACATTAAAATCTTGAGGGGCTCACACTTGATTGTTGAAGCTCCCAAGAGACATTGGTCTTTACATTTTGCAAACTCAAAAACTTATTTGACTCTACATCAGTAGCAATGTATTTTCAAAATGATAAGTCACAAATATGGCACAAAAGAATGGGTCATATTAGTGACAAAGGTTTACAGATTTTAAAAAAATAAGTTGCTTTTGGAAAAGATAACATTGAGAAACTTAGTTTTTGTGATAATTGCATACTACGAAAGCATAATAGATTACCTTTTTTTGCCTGAAATGCATAAATTTGTGTGTATTCTTGAATATTTGCATGATATTTGGGGACCAGCTTCAGTGCCTACTCATACTGGTTATAAATATTTTTTGTTGGTCATTGATGGTTTTTCTTTTAAAATCTAAGCCTGATACTTTTGTTGCCTTTAAAGATTGGAAAGTTTTGATTGAAAACCAAATTGATAAAAGGATTAAAGTGTTAAAAACTGATAATGACTTGAAATTTTGCAATTTTGAGTTTGATGAGTTGTGCAAACTACATGATATATTAAGATACATAACTATAACATACACTCTACAGCAAAATGACTTGGCTGAAAGAATGAATAGAATTGTTCTTGAAAAAGTTAGATGCATGTTATTAAGTTCTGGTCTTCCCAATCTTTTTTTGGGTAGGGTAGGGTAGGAGAGGGGGAAGCTGCAAAAACTGGTAGTTATCTTATTAATATAAGTCCCTCTAGTGCTATGCACTTTAAAATTCCTGAAGAAATGTGGAATGGAAAACCTGTTGACCTAAGTAACCTGAGAGTCTTTGGGTATGCAGTTTTTGCCTATCAATCTGAAGGGAAATTAGATCCAATAACACTTAACTGTATATTCTTAGGCTATGGTGAAGGAGTGGAAGGGCTATGGGTGAGGGAAACCAAAGGATATTAGATCATTTTAAGCAGAAATGTTGTGTTTAATGAAAATGATCTACCTTGTTTGAAAAAAGAGAACAGTACAGTTCCTTTGAGTCGGACTGATAGTGTAGAGAGAAATATAAATTGAGGAGGAGTGGGATAATGTTGATAATCAACAAATTGATGTTCAGACTGACACTGATAATGTTGGGACTCATAGAGATGAATGCACTGACCAATCTGAAGCTGATTTAGAGATAAATCAACCTTTAGATGATTATCAACTTGCTGTAGATAGGCAAAGAAGACAGATTAGAGCACCTGTTAGGTTTGATGATGAAGTGTTTTTTCTGACCTTTCACGGGTTCATTGAAAATGAACTTGAATCCTTAAAAGAAGCTATGAATAGCAAGGATTTCAAGCATTGGCTTGAAGCAATGTAAGATGAAATGAAATCACTTAAAAAGAATAAAACCTGAATTTTAACTGAAAGATCTGAAGGAAAAAATGTTGTTGACTGTAAATGAATTTTTAAAATAAAAAGGGGAGAACAAACTGAAAATGACATTGATACAAAGTTAGACTTGTGGCTAAAGACTTTACTAAAAGATAGGGAATAGATTTCAATGAAATCTTTTCCCTTGTTATAAAATTTACAACAGGTAGGGTAATTTTGGCTTTAACAGCTCAGTTTAATTGGGAATTTGGATCAATTGGATGTAAAAAAATGCCTTTTGAAATTGTGATCTTGATGAAACTATTTATATGGAACAATCAAAAGGTTTTGAAGTAAACAAAAATTCAGACTTAGTATGTCTTCTTAAAAGGTTTTTATATGGTTTAAAACAAATTCCAAGACAACTGTACAAGAGATTTGATACCTTTGTGCTTGGACTTGGTTTTAAAAGGAGTGATTTTGATACCCCGTCTTTATTGTAAAGGAAGTGGAGGTGAGAATTCACTATTTCTTTTTCTTTATGCTGATGACATGCTCTTAACTAGTCAGTTAAAACCAAATTGAAATTAGAATTTGAAATGAAGGACTTAGGTCCTGTTAGAAAGATTTTAGGTATTGAAATTAAAAAGAATAGAAGAGAGTATTTTGAAATTATTGAAAAAAATTGCTATGTCTGATGCTAAAAGTGTGAGTTTACCTTTAACAAATCATTTTGAACTTTCAAATGATCAATGTCCCAAATCTGAAGATGAGCTTAAAAGAATGGCAAGAGTGACATATACTAATGCAATTGGGTTTGTTATGTATCTAATGGTTTGTTCCAGACTTGATTTGGCATTCTCAATAAGTGTATTGAGTAGATATATGTCCAATCCATGTGAAACTCACTGGAAAGCTATGAAATGACTTCTTAGATACATTAAGGTAACTTATGACTTGGGAATAAAATATAGAAAACAATCAGAGTGTATTATCTTGAGGGGTTCTATAGATTCTGACTACGTGATGATAAAGATAACAGGAAATCAACTTCTGCCTATGTGTATACTTTATGTAATTCTTGCATAAGTTGGAAATCCCAACTACAAAAGATTGTTGCATTATCTTTTACTGAGGCAGAACATATAGCTACAACTGATGCTATAAAATAAGGAATTTGGCTGAAATGACTCTTAAATGAATTTGGTTTTGTTAACGATGTTGTTTTATATTTTGATAGCTAATTTGCCATATATTTGAGTAGAAATCCCATTTTACATAATAGATCTAAACATGCTGATATTAAATTTTACTTTATTAAAGATGCTATCTCACAAGGTGTTGTGAAACTTGAAAAAATTTCTACTCACTTTAACCCTGCTCATATTGGTATACTAAAGTGCTGCCTTTAAACAAGTTTTTGACATGTTTATCTTAACACTTGTTGATTTATATTTTTCAGGAATAAGAACAAATGATGCCATGTTTGGAGGAATCACTATAACTGAAACTGGAATCATTGTACCAAGATGGATATTGTGGCACAATGATTATCATCCCTTTTGGTGATTGGATTATTATTTGTTGGGCTGGTTTTGCTGACCTTAATTGGGCTATTTGGGCCGGATGCTTTGATTACTTGGTAACTGTTCCCTTATTTGGATTAAAAGTGTGTTTTTAAGTGGAATGCATTTTTCTTAGACAGCCCTGATGTCGCTAAGTGTCGCCCTAATTGCCATTTGACGATGACCTTCGAGTGACTTCTATAATCTGCTCACTTGCCTAGGGTTTGAGTGATTATTCATTCTCTCTCCCTCTCTGCTCGATTCTGTAATTTTACATTTCTTCTCTCTTTCACTCAAAAAGACAGATAACCATTTTGATTTGGTTATATCAACTGTGTATAGATCTTGAGTGGTTTATATGTTGAGAGTTGTGTTCTTGAGTGAACGTTTGTATAGATTGAAAGGCTTGTGTTGATATAAATTTGAGTGATTTTCTGAGTGCCTTGAAAGTGTATTCTGGACAGTTCATTGATTCTGGTTTATAGTGACTTCTTTCGGTGGTGGAAGCTCAAAAGGGGGATTAGGAACTTCGGCTAAACCTGTTGCATTAGGGCGAAAATCATTGTGTTTTTTATGCTCTTTCAGTTTTTCACTTTACTGCTTTCGAATTTGTGTTTAAAAGTGTCTAATATTTTGAATATTGTCATAACATAGTGAATCTCATATCTTTCACATTTAATTGATCTTACACATCATTTGTCATACCACATTGAGATGATCATCAGTCTGTACATATAGTGTTATTCAAAAATTTAATTAGTGAACAGAATTAAGATGACATTATTTATGGAGATAAAAAAAATTAGTTTGATTGATCGCATTATTTAACAAATGTTAATAATTTAAATCGAATATATAATAATAAATATGTATTTTTTATACAACGTTTCCACAATGTTTAATATCATATTTTTCTATTTCTTTCAAACTAACTCTTTTACATGTCGTAACATGTCATTTCACATTTTTTTTTATCAGGTTCCATACAATTTAGGAGCAATTTGGCAATGTTTCTACTTTTACTTCTACTTTTTATGGAAGAGTTTCTTTAAAATATTAACTTAGGTTGGCATGCTCTTAAAGTTCTTCTCATCACAAAAAACACTTCTAGAAAACTATCCAATAAGTTTAAATACTTCTTAATTTTAAAAGTAAATTTCGACTTTTCAAAAACCATGGCAGACTAGGCTTATATTTCTTATCATGCCCTAAATTAATTGAAAGAATAAAAAGAAGAAAAGAACAAGGCTGCATTTAACTAACCCTTGATAATACAAAATCAAATTAAAGGCCAACCTTGTGACCTAATGAAGTTGACTCAATAAATTGTAAATGTTTTAATCCTATTCTTGCCTTGCAAGTTCATATTGACACCAAATTAAAAAATAAAAAATAAAAAATGGTGAAGATGTTTTGGATTTAATCATGATCTAAATTTACACTTGTTTGGTGAATAATCATGTATGGATGATGAAACAGAATGTATGTGTTACAAAAATTCTAGTACCATATTAAGAAATGATGTAAATTTGAAACAAAAACAGTGGAAGAAATATATGAGTATTGATCTCGTAAGCACAATGCTTAGTTTATGCTAAGTACGGTGCTTAGGTGACACACTATATTAGTGGATAGTTTGTTTGCCACCTAAGCATGATGTTCAGAATAAATTAAGCACCGTGCTTAAAAGATCAAATTTGTGTGTGTGTGTGTAAAAGGTGAAGTAGTTGCAATAAAATAGGATTGCAATAATTTAATTTACTCTAATAAGGTCACTTCCATTATGTTGAATTGAACTTGATAAAATCCTTGAGTACACTCAACTTTTCATTTAGTCAAACTTCAATTTTAACAACATATTTGATTAGACCTATAACTTTTATTAACTTTCAATCACACGTTACACTAACTTTTATTAAAATCTGCTAAAAACAAAACTTTTATAAAAAAACTTTGTCAAACAACCACAATTTTTTTTTTCCGAAAGGCAAATTGTATATTTTTACATTTTCCGTCCAACTAGTTCCTTTAAAGGTGGATAGTCAATGAAAAATGCATTTGTTGGATATTTGATTTGAACAAGTTAACTTGAAGTAATATTTACTAATAAAAAGTTGTTCGTATCGACTAATTGGCATAAAATGGGGTTGAGCATTGTGCATTTCTTATGGACTACGGGACAATAGTACTCAAATCGTAACAAAGAAAGTTTTGGAATCACTTTAGAAGCCTATACTTTATTTTATCATGTTCGGCTAAGCTTAAAAAGGATAAAATTACATTTAAGTAAATTTTTATTGGAATGACTTACTTTTTAATAAGAAAAAAATATTTTCTTGAAAGTCGCTATTACTTTATTCCTAAAATAATTTACTCATTCTAACTTGATCAAGAAAAGAATTAATTATTTTCAAATTCACTTATTTATTTATGATTGAACCTTTTAAGCTTTACCAAACACGCTAAAGCCTAGAGATAAACTATCCCAATTGGCAGTAGACACCAAAAAAATGAGTGTTTTTAAATTCATCAAAGATAGTAATAAATACAGTATTTTATACTGGAATTCAATATTACATGAATTACGTCTATGTAATGGTTGTTGTCAAAGTAAGAACGAATAAACAAATATATAATCTCAAGAAGTTGAATCATTCTTTCCGGTTTCATGGTTTGTCGTGGACGAAGAAGTGCTGCCATAGTTTATGGCACTCCTCGGAGAAGCTGGTGGCGCATGGGCGGCACCACCACCGGCAAAGTGTTTTTCATTCAACGGGCAAGTGCCGGTGCTCGAGCCAGGAGGCCCGGGAATGTAAGTGCAAGGAGAACCACTAGACGGTGGCACTGGACCCCTGGGAAGAGAAGCCAATAATGGAACTTGTTCCCTTAGCCATTTCTCCATACCCAAAGCTCTTATAGCATTTGCCTGTTGACAAGATATTGAAACCAAAAAAATGCACAAAATGAGAAAATAGGTAGTTTTAATTGAACCCATCTTTGATCACTCCATAAAAGTTATACTTTTCTGTAAGTTGATTATAAGCAGAAAAGGGTAAGGATTTGAATGAAAACTCTAAAAGTTGGTGAATATTTATAGGCAGTTCAAAGTTCCAGTTTTAATGGTTCGTAGTGAATGTTTGAATGTATGCAGTCTACGTTCAAAATCAAAGGAACGAATTTTTGAATACATTAAATATATTATTAGAAAAATTCTGTTTTTAACAGCCTAATTTGACATATTCCACGTTGAATAAATGGTGGCGGTAATAGCAAGTTGTATTGTGTGATTCTGATCTGAGACGCGACGGTGGGATTTTTTTTTATTTTTAATTATTTGTTTGGGATTTATTTGTAATTTTTTTAAAAAATTAGATGTATAGCTGCAATTTGTTCTTTATTTTTTTTTCTATATTTTTATTTTATTTAAATAAGAGGGTATATTCGTCATTTCACAATTGATACATAAATTTTTTTTTGCTAATACATGAATAGAAATAAATTTATTTATAATAACTCTAAATTTATTAAGTCAACATTCATTGAGTCTAGACTAATGTAAATTTTAATTAATTGAGAATTAATAACACGAAATATACATGACAATGATTTTTGCCGTATTGAACATGAAGGCAACTAACACAAACTTTCCTGGAAGAATCCACTGGGCATTACATGTTTATTTTCAAAATTTTTTTGTCATTTTGTTGTAGTCTAATATTAACATTCCAGATTGTAACATATACATTGCATTGGTTTCTGAAATGTAATTCGACAATTGAAATTAGGGTGAAGTGTTGTCGAAAGCCCTGATTGATTGTTTTTTTTCAATAAATCATTTGAAATAGAGATCATGTATGGAGAGATTTTTAGTCCATCGTTGAAGGTCCGGTGAATTGTATATTCCTGTTGTGGTTGAAAAACAATGTTCACATTTGATGACAGTGTGTTAAAAATATATGATATTGATGCGTTTTCATAGAAGAATCCCCAGGTCATTACATGTTTATTTTCGATTTAATTTGTCATCTATAGGAGTCAAAAATAGCCTAAAATATAGGTATGGATATGCAAGAGATTGTCCCATATTTGTATATGTATTCCTAGAGGTGTCAATCCGGGTGGTCCGGGCCGGGTCGGCCCGCCAACATGTGAGCCCGGTAACGGCCCGCGTGAAAAAAAGCCCGCCCGCTGCGGGTTCCGGGCCGGTTACGGGTCGGCCCACAATTTTGGACTACAACCCAGGCCCGCCCGCTGACCCATCCGGGTCGAGCCCATGCGGGTCACGGGTCGCG